ATGGTCTGCTGACGTGGTCTGCTGATGCGGCAACCTGTCTCTTATACACATCTAGATGTGTATAAGAGACAGGGCCTAAGCAGTCCGAATCCGGTCTTAACTTCGGTTTTGGTGATGGGTCATCGAGGGGGAGTTGGGGGGTATAGTATAAACAGTGACTAAAGGGCCTAAAATGGTACATTTGGACTCAGTTTTCTCTTTTATTTTTATCTTGAAATTAACAAGTAATTTTGAGGTGGCCCTCGGCCAAAAGCCAAAGTTTGTATTGCAATTTTACACAACATTTTTTTTTTCCCGGATTTTTTTTTTTTTTTCCTTCTATTTTCTACAGTATTATTTGCTGGGATCGCCCGGGACCCTGCCTGGGCCCTGCCCGGTCCGGGCCGCCCGGGAGGGTACCCGGGCGACCTTCCCCTAGCCGGGCCAGCCTCGAACTACCACAGAATATTAAACCTTTGTTACTTAAAGTCTTGACCAACTGCCCTTCCCTTAACTATTATCTGGAGTCGTAACTGCTCGTGGAGAGAGACTGAAATGTGCACTGACATAAATTCGGCAAGTTCCTCCGCACTCGTGGTGGTATATAAAAAACAGCAGCCCCGGTTACATGCCGGCCTCTTTGTCCTGCGCACAGACTGGAGAGAGATTGCGACTTCTCAGTCCAGGTCACACGGACGGAAACAAGTCCCGCGAGTCCCGAGACCCTCTGCTGTTGTAGTGGTGTAATGTTAAGAGGTTCAGGGGTTTCCTGGGATTTGCGAAAAGGAGCACCCTACGATGTTTACGACAAAGTAGAATTTGATGTACCCGTAGGTACACGAGGAGATTGTTATGATCGTTATTGTGTCCGCATTGAAGAAATGCGACAAAGTCTTCGAGTCATTGTCCAATGCTTGAATCAAATGCCTCGTGGTAGCGATTATATGGTCTTAGTAAGATAATATATGGATCAAATACGTTTCGTCCCACATATCATTTCATCCCACATATATCGTATTGATGAGATGTATATCGATCGCACTACGATGGCTTACTATCTATAGATAGATGCCAATTGGAGTATGTATTGTATTTGTATTGAAACCAGCAGCACCACTTGCAACACAGTCCCGCAAGTCCCGACACCCTCTACATCCCAGTCCCTTTCAACTGCGCATGGAGAGGGATTTTGCATCTTCATCTCAGACTGGGACAGTATGGAAGACCTGTTGAGTCAAATTTTCAGAACAACACAGCACCTGACATGTTCTATGGTTCGCTGTGGGGACAGCCGTTTTCTTCTGAATACCCTCATTATGACTGTATTGAAGAGGAAAGATTTCTTATATCGGCGTGTTGGGGGGAAGGCGGTAGGCTCCTTGTTTCAATGGCTCAGCAGAGGCTCATCAATTGTAATAGGAGTTTGTGAAGTAATGTTAATTGCAGATTCAAAGCATTCCTTTCACTTGAAGAACCATACCAGAATTATGATATTCAGCTTACGTTCACGACAAGAGAA